TGAGGATGGATGTTGTCCCCGGCCTTTCGTGCCTCTGTAGGGCCAGAGCGAGTTATTACGAGTTACTGGGAATCGGTGCTGCTGGAACTGAGTCAGCAGATGAGTGGGAGCGCACCCCACTGCGGAGCCTAGCTGCTCTGCGCCCCGCACCGCCCCCAGGATGGTGCAGAGCGGAGGTTCGGAGCTGGGGCGCCCGCAGCTCTGGGAAGCAGGTTCGCCTATAGGGTTGGGCTTCCACTTAAGTCTTCCCTGCTCTTGGAGGGTCCACCTCGCTCGTCCCCTGCTTTGCTGTGCGTTGTTGGGTTAACCGGGCAGAGTGGGGCGATCTGCACGCCCACAGCGTGGTGCGCGGCAGCTGCAGCAGTGAGGCCGTGAGACCACCGCCGCGGCCCCGATGGACTTGCACACAGCCCCCGCCCGGCCATCTCTGAGCTCATGCGAGCGCAGGAAACCGGAGCCCTGTCACCTCATGCAGCCACTCCTAGACTCCCAGCTTTCGGGTCTCTCCTTCCTCCGGTCCTCTTTAGAGCTCTTGTTCCGGGTGTTTTGTTTTGTTTTGCTTTCAGCTTTTTGAACTGGTGTCTGGCTCCCCCTCGCCCCCTTCCCATTGTGACCTAGTTGGGCGCAGGGACTGTAACCGGGCCGAGCTGTCCGGCTGACAGCCCTCAGCTCCGGGCTGCGCAGACAGGAGGAGCCCGCAGGTATCGAGGTACCGCAGGTATTGAGCATCGTGGAAAAAAAGGAGAGGGGTGAGGGTTGAGGGGGGGCTGGGGTGGGTGTGGGGTGGGGGCGACGGGAGAGGAGGAAGCGTACAGGAAGAGGAAGGGACGGAGGGGAGAAGAGGCAGCGGAGGGCAGCGCTGACGTCACAGTGGACGGGTGGGGACTCTACCAACAGGACTGTTTCTCAGGGCGTCCGGTGCCGGCCTCTCCGAGTAGCAGGGGTGGCAGGAACTATGAGGGCAAACCGCGAGGCGGTGTTAGTGGACTATCCCCTTAAAGATACTAAATTAAGCAGCTCTGGAGGCAGAAAGCTGTGGCTCCTACCTGCCAGCTGCGTGGCCTCGGGTGAGCTTCTGTCCTCCCTGGGCTTGTTTTTTCATGACGCAAAGTGAGGACAAGAGCATCTATCTCTGCAGGTTGTGAGGGTCAGTAATCGTGGCTATACTATGGTCTCCGACGTCAGCATCAGTCCTGAGATAGAAGTTAAGGCCTGGATTTCCACCAAAACTCCTCAAGCGCTTCCTGCGCCTGCGCCTGCGCCTGCCAACATGCTGCGCATGCTCAATGTCAGAGGACTCTTCAAGTTGAAGCCAGGGGCTTTGGGGGGAGGAAATGGGACTAGCGCTGCCAGGACAGCCTGCTGTCCCCACCAAACCTCTGAAGGCCCCATGGGAAGCAGCCGTGTGGAGGAGGAGAGTGGTGGGGGGTAGGGTGGAGCTCAACTTTGTACTGGTTCTAGGAGACTTGACTACTGGCTGCCAGGGGGGTCGGAGCAGCAGGGATGACCTTGGCCTTGGCCGCAACCCTCAGAAGGAAGGTCTCCACGTTGTCTCTTGGGTAACTTGGGCAGCAGGAAGTGCAACTCTGCACCGTCTGGTTGGTTCTGAAGTGTTTTATGTGCACACAACCACTTCTGATCCAACTGGCAGGAAACACGATGTTTTAAATAGAGTTAATTCTATGTACTTTTTTCATTGTAATAGAATCGAAATGTAGAAAATGAAGGTAGTAAAAAGAGGGAGACATCACCCATGCACTCCCCATGGGGATGGTTCCAGGTGCCGGGGATACAGTCATGAGCAAAGCAGCTGGGTCCTCTGCTGTCCAGAGCTCCCTCCTGGCAGAAGGAGAGAGGAAATAAACCAAGAGCTAATATATAAGAGCTCAGGACTCCCTGGGACTAGGGCAATGAGGGGTGGAAGTGTAACTTCATGTAGGTGACAGACAAGGCCTCCTGGATAAAGGGATGTTTGATGAGCCCTGAAAGAAGTGAGGGGCATCTATGTGAGCATTTGGGCAGAGCAGTCCAGGCAGAAGGGGTGGCTTGGGCAAAGGTCTTGAGGCAGGAGCACACCTGGCCTCTGGAGGGACAATCAGAGGCCAGTATGGCTGGAGCTGGTGAGTGAGGAGAGAGCAGGGGAAGACGGGGACCTCGGGGGGTGAGGCTGGATCAGGTACGGCGGTGCTGCCCAAACTTGAATGTGCGCACAGGTTCCCTGGGGACTTATTAAAATGCAGATTCTAATGTGGCAGGTCTGAGATGGGGCCTGACATTCTGCATTTCTACAAAGTGCCCAGGTGATGCCAATGCTGCTGGCCCACCCACCACACTATAAGTAGTGAGGGTGTGGCCTTGTGGGCCAGAGTAAGGATTTGGCCTTTACTTTGAGGGAACTGGAGAGCCTTTGATTGCTCCAAGTCACACAGCAACTTCGTCTGACTTTTGTTTCAAAGGGAGTGCACTGGCTGCTGCTTAGGCTGTAGAAGGTGAGAGGGAAAGCAATTAGAAGCTTGCCAAATAATCTAAAAAAGAGATGGGTGTGGTTTGGCTGGGGAAGGGAGAGGGTGGTGATGAGGAAAGAGTCCTTTGCTTCAGATATTCTGAAGGTGAGCCTCCAGGATTTGCTGACAGATTGCATGTGGGGTGTAAGAAGAGGCGTCTAGGGTGACAAGGGTATATGTTCAAGCAAGCAAATATCATTTCCATTGACCGACATGGAAGAACCCCCAGGACATGATACTTGAGATGTGAGTTTGACATTTGAATACAGGGCTGCAATTTGGAGGTGAGATCCAGGCTAGAAAACTCAATTTCAGAGTCAGAGAATAGAGAGCTGGCTGCTATCTCCTAAGGGGTAGAAGAGGGGAGGTTTGAGGACTGAGCCCTTGGACACTGTGACTCCTGGAGGGCAAGAATATGGAAAGCTCTCAGTAAAAGGGGCTGAGAGGCAGAGGCCAGTGAGTCACTGGAGAGCCATGCATTTTTTTGTCCCAGTTATTTTATCCATTACCTGCAGCTAACAAACCATCCCAACATTTAGTGGCTTAAATACCAGTTTATTTCTTCTCATGATTCTGTGAGTTGACTGGGGGGTTGTTTTGCACCCCAGGTGTTGTCTGGGATCACTCATGAGGCTGCCTTGCTGGGGCACCTTGCACCACAGCCTCACTCCTGTCTGGGAGTTGGCCCTGGCTGTGGGCTGGGGTAGCTCAGTTCTCTTCGTGGGTCTCTCCTTCCAGAAAGCTAGCCCAGCTTCTGCACAGGGTGGCAGCTGGGTTCCAAAAGAGGAGGAGCTGGAGCTATGGGGCCCCTCAGGCCCTAGACCCAGAACTGTCAGAGCAGCCCTTCCACCAGGTTCTATTTGTCCAAGCGGTAAGGCCAGCCAGGTTCCTTCTCTTGGTGGAGCGGTGAGACACCACATACACATGAGGGTCGAATGTTGGTGGCCATCTTTGGGACCACCTGCCACAGGATCTTTCTCTATTTGCAATTTTATATATGCTATTAAAAATGGGAATTTAGGCCAAATGGCATAGTTAGGGGCACTGGGTACTAGTCTGCTCTCCGTTAGCCAAAAGTTAGCTCTTTAATAAGTCGGTTCATCTTTTTGGGCTCAGTTTCCTCATTTGTTCCACCAGGAGGTTGACAATTGGCAGAGGTTGATAGCACTAGATAACTTTTAAATTAGAAAATGCAAGTCAAGTGCTTGGCACTGTTCAGGGCACATATAGTGCTGGTGATTGTCACTGTTTTTCCAGCCTCACAATCTTCCATTCTCTGGCAGGAAGCAGCATTCCACACCTGTGGGGGGCCAGTTGGCTGGCTGGCACTGGCAGGGGCTCCTCCAAAGGGGAAGGGAGGCTCTTCTGCACACCTCACATCTAGCAAGAAGGAATGCTCTTTCCCATGCAAAGAACTCAACAAACCAGTTTTCCAAAATCTCTCTTCCCCTGTGTTTACTTTATCATGTGTTTACTTCTTGGCTGTTGAAATATTTAAGTACCTGGTAGAGACCAGTTTCATATCAGTTTCCTTTTATCCTTCCTGGCTCCACAACAGCAAAAACACCATTTCCATTATTGAACTTATTATGCACCAACTCAGGGGTAGACGTTTTACAATTATCTAATGTATTCTTTATGGCACCTCCAGAGAAGGAAGCATTATTCCAGTTTTCCAAAAAAGGAAAATGAGGCACGGAGAAGTTAAGGAACTTGCCCAAGAACTTGCCCAGAACTAGAAATGCCAGGGTTTGAACCCAGGTCACAGATGCTAGAGCAATTGGAGAAAGTCCACATCGCCCCAAATCAGCCAAGTATTTAGAGGCAACGTTTGTTTCCCTGATAAACTATCCCCCCTGTGGACGAAGGCCTCCACAGTCCCAGGCTTGAGGTCCCCCCCGCCCACCGCCAGCCCATTTAGCGTGCGGTGGGGGGTGGGGGCGGGGGCGGAGCGTTGCTTTCCAGAGCGTATAAAGGGATTAAAACCTTGGCTTCTGCCTCCGAGATGCTGAGCTGACCTCTGGCCCTCAGGCCCGTCTGTGCGCTTGGCTCCACCAGTCCCTTACGTTCTGTGCCGGCTCCTTCCCATCCCAGAGGGCCCCGCGCCCCAGGCCCTGAGCTCGCGTCCCAGGACGCATGTGGCTCTGCTCTTGCCAGCTTGGCGCAGCTGCGGGGGCTTGAAGAAGAGCGCACAAACTGAAACCAAAACAGCCCGACGCCAAGGAGCGCCAGGGCGGGAAGGCAGAGCAGCGGAGCGCATCACGGCCCCGCCAAGGCCCGGACCCCGCTCTCCCCGCGCTCCCTTGCGCCCCTTCCCCAGGCCTCTCCCCTCTTCCTTCGCGGTCTCCTACTCCATGGCGGGAGAAGAAGGGGTGGGGACGGGGCGGGCTCCAGACCTGGAACGGGCCCCAGAGCAGTGGGTGGTGGCCGGAGGGCGGAGCGGGGGCGGGGCCCGCAGATACTGTAAGGGGCGCCCCCCTCTCTCAGCACAGGTTGGGGACGCACAGACTGCCTTGGGGCGTCGGGCTAGATGGCGGCGCGCAGTCTGGGCCGCGGCGTCGGGCGACTGCTCGGCAGCCTACGCGGGCGCTCGGGGCAGCCAGTGCGGCCGCTGCGAGGGATGGGCGCGCCTCGCCGGGGGGCCTCGGGGCTCTCGGGCAGCGCCCCCGCCGCCGCTGCCGCCGCCGCCGCCGCGCAGCCTGGCTTGTACCCCGCGCTGAGCGCGCAGGCAGCCCGGGAGCCGGCCGCCTTCTGGGGGCCCCTGGCGCGGGACACGCTCGTGTGGGACACCCCCTACCACACTGTCTGGGACTGCGACTTCAGCAATGGCAAGATCGGCTGGTTCCTGGGAGGCCAGTTAAACGTCTCTGGTGAGTGGGCTTCGGGGCATCCAGGATGCCCCCAACTCACGCGTCCTGAGGGGACTCAAATGAGGGGACTCAAAGAGTCTCCCGCCAGCAGCAGCCGTCCGGGGCAAGGCTGATCACAGCAGCGTCTTGGCAGAGCCCTCCAGGACCCCTCCTGCAGTATTCTGCGCTACTCTAAACCGTGGCTCCGAGTCACTTCCGACACGCACCCACCGGACCCCAGAGGCTCCAGCCCCGGGCCTGCTGCACTCTGGCGCCCCGAATGCACGTTCCCAGCTCGGGCCGGCGCCCGCAGAGACCCGGCGGCAGTTTGAGATGCCCAGCTGCTGGCCTTGCCCCAGCACCGCCCCTCGGTCCGCTGTCTCCAAAGTTTAATTACCGGGGTGCACAGCGCCGCGGGGCGCCAGCCTGCGGGGACTAGCGGGCGACACCCGGGAGCCCAGGAGTCAGGACTTTCTCGTTCCGGTACTCGGGGCTGGAGGGAAAAACCGAAAGCGGGTGACGGTTGTCACTACCAGCTGCTCTGCGGGGGATCCGCCTGGGGACGAACCCACGTAAACAAAAGGAGTCGTGGCGGGTGGCTTGGGGAGGAGAAAATCCGGCCCAGCAGCTGGAATCCGTGACCTCCTTGCTGTTGGGGCTAGTGCACGGGAAGGAAGTAACAGCAGGCCTCCTGTTCTCAGCCTCAGGGAACTGCCCCACAGACTCACGGACTACTTTAGACTGGTGGGGCTTGAGAGGCCAGGAAACCCGCCCCAGCAGCCGACCAACCGTCCGTCTGTAATCTGCTGGGCCTGAATCCGCTGCTGTTCAGTTAAGATTTGGGGTTGGGGAACTTACACTGAGCCCTGGCCCCAATCTAAGTAAAGTGCTGACTAGGCGGCTGGGGGTAAGGCCCAGGAACTGCAGGCAGCGGCCACACTTGGGGTGGGCCTGGGGAGGGGCCTAGCAGCCTGGGCGGATCTGAGGGGCTGTGGTCTGGGAGGTCACAACCGGTTCGGGGGAGTTTGGAGGTTGTTTAAAAAAAGGACCTGAAGGTCTTTCACGCAGCGTTATGCCCCTTCCCAAGGCCGGAGCTTGGAGGTGGCCTCTCTGTGACACCCTGCCCATTGTCCTGGCTACTCTCCTCTCTGAGCCTCAGTCTCCTCAGTTTTAAACTGCAGCAATTACTCTCCGCTGTTAGGCTGGCTGTGAGGACTGTGCTGGAAGGCATGGAGCCGGTCCAGCCCTAATTAGTGATCAATAAGCATTAGCAATTTTAGTTTGTTACCTTCAGAAATGCCATAAAATTATAGGTAGTATCTTGCAGTTGTTTTTCAAACAAAGAAACTTAAAGGAACTTTGGACCAAAAATTTTTTTTCGTATTGTATATCACTTTGCTGGTTTAATTAAAATGAGTCACTTACTAGATGTGTTTTCTTTAAAATTGAGTCAGCGGCAAGTGTCCTTGAACTAATTGGAAAAAAAGCACCAAACCCTTCATCTGCAGGGTTGGTGGAATGTGCCCTTGAAGGGGACTAGTGCAGCTTGCTAAAGGACAGAGACAGAAAGTGTGCAGCTCCTTTGGGAGAGGCCAAGGCCGTAGCTGGCTGGTGCAGGGTTGCAGCCTCACTCTCAGATAAGACAGTGGGGCGGGCCTCCCGGGGCACACAGCAAGGACCTTGTGGGCCTCACGAGGTCAAGGTTGAGGTGTGCTCAGCAAGCAGTTCTTCTGCCTCCTTTCCCTTCACTCATTGCTCCTGAAGATTCAGCCTTATGGCTACCTTAGCCAGAAAATGAGCTTCCGAAAACTGACTCGTAGAAAAGCAGCTTTCAGCAGCTTCCTCACCTTGAATGTGCATGCCCCCTACCCCCCCATCTGTCAGCACTGTCTCTGCTCTTCCCCAGTGTCTGCAAACCACAGAGGTGACAGTATGAAAAAGGGCCAGACCAGGCCACGACTGCCCTGGGAGCCCCCAACAAAGTTATGGGATGGATGGCGGTGTTTTGGCCTGATCTGTCTGTTGTGTGTGATAAAGTCAGCATGACGGTGGCTTGTTCCAAAGGAGCATCACTCTTGAAACTCCCATTACCCCTTCAGGAATATCTATACAGTTAGGTCTGGAGCAGAGAGGGAGACACACAAAGCCTCTTGTGTAACAAAATGCCATTTATTTGAGCATCTGTGTGCAGATGGGTGGGGGCCAAAAAAGCGTCCATCCTGAGGGAAGGGAAAGCCTTGAGTTTTATCAAGGGTTCGTTTGTGTGTGAGGGGGTGAGTACCTGGGCCAGAACAGCTGCTGCAATAAAATTTTTAAACAACCAATTTCTGGGACCTCTGCATCCGTCTCATCCTGCAGAGATAAGGGAGGGGGATGGTTCCGTCCTTATCAGAGGGGATAGGAATGCTAGCATCTGCAGCTATCTGTTAGATTTTACAACCTCTGGGGACCCTCTAGACTCCTGTGGCTATTGTTTTACAAGCCTAAGTTTTCCATTAACCGCATTCTGTCCTGCATTCCGTCCTATACATACTTTTCAAGTTCCCACCTGGAACAAACCTAACATATACCAGCGGCCCTTGCAGTGTAGTCCATGGACCAGCATCATCATTGTTACCTGGAAACTTTTTAGAAACCAGTTGTGGGGCTCATCCTAGACATCTGGAATCAGAAGCCCTGGGGGTGGGGCCCACCTATGTTCAACAAGCCCTCCAGGTGCTCCAGGTGCACACTCAGGTTTCAGAACCACTGACCTGTACACCGCAAATCAGGGCAGATGAAGGTACTTCTAAAACAGGCAAAATCTGGATTAGTGTGCCGGAGATGGCTCTATTAAACAAACAAACAAACAGTGGTGTGTGGGTGGTGCAGTACAGTTTAGTGGTTCCAGGTGTGTCTTTAGAATCGCAACTTCGTTTGATTTCTTGCTTCCTCATCTGTAAAACAAAGAGAGTGTGGAACAAAATGCTGTTCTAGTCGCTGTTGTTGCATATCAAACCAGCCCAAGCTCAACAGTGCGAGATAGCAGTCATTTTAGCACACTCACGGGCCTTGTGGGTCAGGACTTTGGACAGGGCCTGATGGAGGTGACTCTGGTTTAAAGATCTTAATTGACGTTATTTACAATTCTGTAATCCCGGCAACACCTCATTCCATAAAACAGGATGAGTGTTTGATGGGCTGAGCAGAGGAGGCTGGTTTTATAAATGGAAAAGGACTGAAGAAGACAGACACAGAGAACAAAAAGCAGATTGGTTTTTTCGGAGTCACTCACCTTGTAAAGGTTAAAGCAGAAGGAACTGCCTTAGCACGCCAGCTAAACTGGCATGTTTGAGGGTTTGGCTATGGTCTCACTCTCCTGAGCTCTCGGAAGATCAGATAAACAACTTAGCTGTGTCTTGGTGGCATCGGGCCTTCAGCACATCCTTTCGGTTTGGTCAGGGGAGCCTGGTGCAGGAGCTGAGTCCACACCAGTGGCCTCCTGTACATTTTATTTACCGCTTCTGCTCCCTGATGTCTGAGCTTGGAGTCATCTGTCCGCTTCTCACTCCCAAGTCCGTGGCCTGGGTTGGGACCATTTGCAGGCTGGGCTCAGCTGGAACTGTGGCCCAAAGCCCCTCACAGGGCTTCTCATAGCGTGATGGCTGGGCCCAGGAAATGTCCTGCAACCAGAGGTCCAAGAGACCAACACAGAAGCTATTAGGCTTCCTCTGCCCTGGGGAGGGAGGGTTACCTGACTGAACCTGTTTTCTTATCAGTGGGAGTATGGGCACACCCATCCCACAGCTGTCATTAGAATTAAATGGGAAAACACTTGTAAAGCACTCAGCACTTTCCTTAGCACATTACAGGCTCCCAATCACTGGCCACTTGTTATTTATTAATGAAGCATGTGAGGAGGCTGTGACTTTGAACTTGGCCTTCAGCAGTGTGCTATTAAGAGAGCTGTGCTTCATCTGACATGGACCACATGGATTTGCATCTGATCAGCCTGGGATCGGTGGGGAGCAGGCTTAGGAAGGTGTGCAGGTGGCCGAGAAGGCTCTCAGAGCATCACAGGATCCTGCCAGTTCCGGAGCTCTGATCGCCAGGTGGGGTTATGGTGTCAGGGGCCCACTGGGCAGGGCAGGTAGAGTCTCCACTCCCTCAGGTGACTTGCCTCTATTGCATTTGTGTACAACTGCTTTGCAGAACGTTCTTTGGAAAGCCGAATTCTAAGAGAGATTCTTGCCCACCTTTGAAATTTGGCTCTCTTTGTCAGATGTTTTTGCCCTGTGGCATAGAAACTCAAGCTGTCAGGAAGTTGCAAATGCAGAACTGGAGGATAATGACACGTGTTGCTTTCACAATTCACAACTAAGCTCTATTATCTAAACCCCACATTTTGAGTGATTTTTTTTAAGTGTGTGTAGTCTTACTCAAGCAAGAGTGTAAAAAACCTATTTTGAACCAAGCATTGAGCACTGAGAGATTTCTTGGATGCTTTTCAGAACATTAATTGCAGGAATAGAAGCCATTTTACTGTCACTCTCTCCTCTCTGTGACCTGCCTCCGTAACTCAGACAGCAGCGACCCTGATGCGGCAAGTTACTGCACGCCTTCGCTCATTTTTCTCTCAGCGAGTCAAGTAGCTTTTCTGCAATGTTTCAAGGAACTCTAAATGAAGACATGACCCCCAGTCTCGAGAGGGGGGCCCCCCAGAGCAGTGTCTGGATTCTCTGCAGTCATCAGAGGCATGACTTACTTGAAATAGCAGGTGCTCTGGAAAGTTGGCAAATACAATTTTTGTGACTGATGTAATATCTTAAAATGTACCAGGGAGGATTACTATTTAAAGAAAACCCTTTTGTGAATATTAACTCCCTAGTTTATTTTGATTAAAATTGGATTTCTGTATGCTGGCTTCACTTAAAGTTGGGGTGTGTGAGGGTAAGGGATGTATTTAAATGGCCAAGAAGAGTTCTTGAAAATTCCTACATTAGTGTGTGTCATCTTTGTAATGGAAACGCAAATGCTCTGGGAGTTCTATTTTTTTTTTTTAACAAAAGCAAAAACCCATGGCCCACCCACAGGCATTAGCTAACCGCCTGTAGGCTGTGTTAGGCCCTGGGCACACACCTGGACTCCAGGGGGAGGGATGGAGCACGGGCTGAGCCACGCCCTGCTCCCAATGGCTCATCCCATCCTCACGGCACCAGTGTGGAGGGGCTGGTGGTTCCATTGCACAGATGTGGAAATAAAGATTCCAACTCATATACGAGTAATCCAAAAAATGCTTGCATTGTAATGAAGAGATGGACCATAAATCAGCAAACGAAGAAATCCACACTGGGGTAACTTGCTTAAGGTCTTTGTAGCTGCCGGGGAACAGCATGATAAAGGAATCTCAGGCACATGGTTCCTGCCCTCAGCGACCTTGTGGCCCAGATGGGGGCATAGTTAGTACTGTGTCCCAGAGTGGGGCCCAGGCAGAATAGGGAAGGGTTAAATGGTGTGGGCCACTGAGAGGTGGAACTATAGGTCATTGGTCATTGTGTGCTGGGAAATTTGGAAAAGGCTTAAAATAGGAGGCGGGGTTTGAGCTTCACCTTATATTGTACCGGGCCCTTGCCCAACTCTTCTTGGAAATGCTTGGACGTGGAATTTTCTTGTCCCACTGCCCGGTTCTTTGGACAGAAGGTTTTTTCTTTTTAATTTCCTTTTCTTCTTCCCTTTCTTCCTCCCTCCCTTCCGTACTACTCCTCTTGCCTTCTCTCCTTTCCTCTCTCCCACTCTTCCTTCTTTTTGTTCCTGCAATTGATGCAATAGCAGGAACCAAAAATATGTGCTAAAGGCCAACATATACATGGCATTTTAGGGCCACTGTCCCTCCCAGACCCCACACTGTGCTTTCTCTAGGTGCTTCAGCCACCTGAGCATCGACCATGGTGGCAGTGGCTGTGAGCACAGGTGAGGGTATTGCGTTGCCCCTGGCAACACAATCTGAACCCACAACAGGAAAGTCTCAAATGACACCTCATTTTTACCATCACACCCAGAATCTGGGATCATACGCCCACCCATGGATTAGGAAACTGAGATCTGGAGTTAGGAAACTGAGATCTGGATTAAATAACGTGTGTATTGTAGGGTTGGTGAGTAGGATAGGGGCCGAACTCTAGACCTTGGATTTTTAACTGTGACCTCAGGCTGCCAGCCAGTGAGGCTGTGGCCAGATATCCCACAGGGCTGTTAAGTATGTGTAATTACCCAGCCCAAAAGGAAGAAGAAGACCTTCTGGAATGTACATAGAAGTAGATGTGCATGTGGACACATGTACACACGTCTGTCAGAGTGTGGTCCTAGGACCTTGTTTGAAATGCAAATGTTCAATCAGACTGGGGTGGGCCTCGCCCTCTGCTTGTTCACAAGCCCTTGGGAGGGGTTGTCCTGAGGCCACTTAAGGTTGAGGAGCTCCACTTTAGGTCAAAGAGAAAACATCTACTTGAGGGACAAAGCCACAAAGACAAAAAGAGGTCTGTTTCCTCCCTAGGGCTGGGGGGACAACCTGGTGCCGGTTAGACCCCAGTGTGCCCCTCCAGCTCAAGGATGTGGCCTTCTGTCCATGGTCCAGAGCTTGGCACTTCCTCAGCTCTGTGCTCTGGGTTAGGCTGGCTGTATACAGGTGTGAACAGATACTCGGCCCCTGCCCAAAGGAGGGCCGCAAGCACTAAACATCTTGGGCAGAGTTGGAGGGAGGCTCAGGGTTCACAGGAAGGGAGGTGCTCAGTGAGAGAGTAAGAAACTCAGGCTGAGACCTGCAGCATGGGTGGGCAGAGAGGACAGCAACCCAGGCAGGCAGAAACCAGTGAAAGGCCCTGGGGCAGAAGGAGCTCGCCAGAGTTGGCATGGCCAGTGGGGAGAGGTAGATTACATGGGCCGTGGTGGCCACTTTTTGAGCACCTTCTCTGCGTCAGAGACACCTGGAGGACACTGCACATGGGCTCCATGAGGACCTGCCAGCCCTGGAAGAGATGGACATGCAGCTGATCTCGCCGGCCACCCAGCTGCACCGGGGGTGCCATCCATCCTGTGGCAGGGCTCCCCCTCACCTTCCTCAGCTCTGCCTGCCTGCTTGCCATAAAACAGGCACAGGATCCCCTGCGGGGCTCCGAGGCTGTGAGGGTCTCAGTTGGAAGTTGGGCAGTCACCCTGGGTGAGAAGGTGCCCGGCTGCCGTGGGAGCAGGCCGTGTGATGAGATGAACCCTGGGTGTGGTGTGAAACAGGTTTGATCCCTTCCTGCTGCCTCCTGCTGGGGACTTGGGCAGGTCACAGGAGCACTCAGGCTGTTCGCTAATTTACACCCGGTCAGGCCTCTCTTCACTGTGACTCCAGGTCAAATTCAGAGTGCAGAGAGCGTGTCAGAGCAGAGCTTCCCAGATGCCAGCGTAGGCACACACTGGGGACTTCTTATGAGGCAGGGTGTAACTCAGCAGGTCTGGGTGGGGCTAAGGATTTGTACCAGTACCAGGATTTGTGACCAGCTCCCAGGCGAAGGCTGGAGCAGCCCAGGGCTGAAGCAGGCTCCTGTGCATAAACCAGCAGCACCCTCCTCCTGCTGGGCCCGCTTCTGCATGTCCCTCCCCATATGTGGTCCTCCTCCGAGTCTCTCTGCAGTGTCCCTCCTCTGCCGGGCCTTGCCAGGCTTGTCATAACCTCCCCAGAGTCACTGGAGGGGACAGACCAGCAACTAGGGGACAGGGCCACCACTGAGAGGCGGCCTCTCTGCTGAGTGTTCAGAAGCCAGAAATCCATGGTTTTAGTGTGAAAACTCTTGATCTTAAAATATTGGACTGAAGTAGCATGCTCACACATACATACACGCGCCGGTCAGAGACTCTGCACATCTGACTCTAAGCTGAACTCAGCCTGTGGACCAGGCTGCCTAATGTTTGCTACTCCAGCCACTAACCTTCTCCCTGGCAGCCTTGCTGTTTTTCCATCTCCGTCATAGTTTCCTTGTTCCTCTCACCTACCTGAATTGTCCTTGCCTTGCTGGCAGGGCTCATCCTTCTCCCACCTGTTCTTAGAGCAGTCTTCACTGCCTGGCTGGACTGTTACAGGCTGGAGTGGAGGGCAGGGTGTCGGCATAGACTCTGGAGCTGATCTGCCTGCGTTGAATCCAGCTCTGCCACTGTGTGGCCTTGGGCAGGCTGCTTAACCTCTCTGGGCCTCTCTTTTCCCATTTGTTAAGAGGAGATACCGATGGTCCCTTCTTCTGGCCCACAGCGGGCACTGTCTACATGGAGACGCTTGTGGTCATTATTGTTTCAGTGTCCGGTGGCTCTTCCTTGGGTTTGCCTTCTCAGGGTAGATTCAGCTCTGTGCTCCTGTTTGGTCACGATGCCTGCCGCAGGCTACCTTGTGCTTTTTGGGTTACTTTCTCGTTTCTTAGTTGCTTCTGTCCCCTGCACCCTCGGCAGGGGCTGAGCGTCTGTCCCTGCATTTCCCTTTGCACTCCGCAGGGTGCCTGGAGCAGAAGTGGCGCCCAGGAGACTGGTTGAACAAACCATTGCGGGATTTATATGCCCTCTCCCCTGTGCTCCTAAAAGACCCCCTGTCACCCAGAAAAGCATTTGGGAAAATGGGGAGGGCTTCCAGCGGATGGGATGGAGATTCTAGTGTTTTTAAAGTAATAAACCATGTTGTGCTGGAAGAGAGCTACCAGCCTGCCACCTGCTTGACGGTAGTGAGGTCACGGAGCCTGGGCACCTGTGGGCTGTGGCTGCAAACGTCACTGGAGACCCTGGAGAGGGCTTCGTGTGGGGTTTACATGTGTGCATGTGTACACGTGTGCGTGCACACACACTCACACATTCACACTGATGGTGGATTTGTTGTGTAAATCCAGGTCTGCCACTGAGCCCCTTCTTCTTGGTTTGTCTTCTTGGTTTTCTTCTCTTCTACTTTTTTGGCATTTCTTCTCTTCTATTTTTCTAGTAGTTCAAAGAACTTTCCTCTATCAGTTACTAGTATTAGTAATTTTTTCCCTGGCATCTATCTTCATTTATCAAATGTTTGGGGGTATAATTTATATATGGGACACTGGGGTGACCCTGAGAGACCAGGTGGGGTGGCTGCTGACCCCAAAGCTATTCACAGGACTCACTTTCTCCACACACCTGGGGCCCCGCTGTGGGAAACTGAGTCGTGATCACCTGGCTTTGGGGTGGGGAAGGACTGTGCATTTGCCAGCCAGAGTCAGGCACCTTTGAGATCAGTGAATACCGAGCAGGGTGTCAATGCACACAACCCAATAATCTCCAGGTTTACAGTAAATGGCAGAACTGACCTTCTGTTTCTGCGGACAGTCATGTGATCTGAGCTTGAGTAATGGAGGGCAGGGGAGCAGAGGCTTCTGGAAAACCAGGATGGCATTTCCCTATTGTTGAGTCACTTCTTGGAGCAGAGGCGGGTTTCTAGGGTGCTGGTCAAACACATGAGAGGGGACTCGGCCCCTAATCTGGGCTTGCACCTCCACCCTGGGGCAGATCCCCTGGGTACCGGGGAGCAGGCGCAGCAGCCGTGCACTGCAGCGGGAGCATCGTGTTTGCACTGTGCTCTTTCCAGCAGCTCTGCTGTGGTGCCCGCCCTGGCCACACATCAGAGCCATCCAGGAGCTTTGAAAGCCCAGGGCCCACAGGGGGGTGGTGGCCAGGGGTTGCCAAGGGGAGGCCAACGTGCAGCCAGGGCTGGGACCACTGGCACTTCAGAATATTGGCGGGAGATCACCTCGTACCTTTGGGACCGTGCTTGTGCAGTGACCATCTTTGTTTTCGCAGCTCTGACAATCACTCTTCTGCTGGCAAAGAGGCAGAACCCTCTCCTTGGATAAGGGTAGAGTCCCTCTCAGCGGGTGCAGAGCAAGGCTCCTCAGCAAACTAGAAACCCCCCACCTCCTAACTGTATTCTCACTCTGAAAGCGCCAATTGTAACGTCTGCAAAACCTGTTTTTGTACAGTCAACTGCTTGGATCAGCATGTCCAGAAGTCCCCTGAGAGTGTGGCTTTGATCTGGGAACGAGACGAACCTGGAACCGAAGTGAGGATCACCTACAGGTACTGTGTGTTCCCTGGTGGGGTCTCAGTGCCCAGCAGGCAACCTGGGCCACTCCGTCTGTTTGCTGGGACAACACACCAAACACCCTTGCTGGGCCAGTTAGCAGCAGGCAGGATCCCCCAGCTTGGGAGGAGGCCCGGCCTTCGCGTTCACTTGGCAGCACTTAATGTCTTTAGATTCCCATAGAAGGAACTGGGGCTTTTGAAACAAACGTCATGATGTCCAAGGTATAGAGGAGGCGTTTGGCCCAGTCTCCCGTGCCTGTGTCTGGCTCCGGGGGAGGGATTGTCTGAGTACCAAGGAGCGTGTTTCAGCTTTGGAAATGTTCTCTCATCCCAGGAAAAGTAAACACTACACAAGCTGAACAAAATACGTACTGGAATAATAAAACCATCCCAGTCCACTCAGCCTGCCTCTCAGCACCCTTATGAGAGTGGGACAATAAATACAATTGTCTTTGAATAGTTTTTATTAAAAGCTGATATTTCTATTCTTTGATTCCTTAAGCAGATCGCATGTGCCAAGCACCCTTCTGGACACTGTGCATTCGCTGCGGGGCTTAGACGGGCCTTCCCAGAGCTGCTTCCCGCAGGGGACGGATGGCTTTGCTCAGAGGCTCTGGGGTCACTCAGTGCAGGATTGTTGGTTCTCCATTAAAGCGCCCTTCACTTAGGGCTCAACTTCCCTTACCTGGATATGTCAGGCCCACGATGTCCCCAGCTATGTGCTTTATTGCCACATCTCTCCGTCTACCCCCAGCCACTCAGGTCATCAAGTGGCTGATTGAGTTCACTAGGCGTTCAGCTGCTTCCCTATCGCTGGCACACCTCCGTCTGTGCGTGAACAAACCTCTGGAAAGAAACTGGGGGCTGCTGCCTTGGGGGTGGTTCTTCAGTAAAAGATGAAAACCCTGAGGAGCTACCTGGACACCCGGAGGCCCAACAGTGAGCACGTCCAGTCCTGGTGCTCCCCAAGGGCTAATTCCCTTCCCTCACTGTCTCAGGTGTGCCTGGACCCCATGGCAGGCAGACCGTGTGCGGCGGCCCCTGGGCTGGACGCCGCCGTGTGCACACTGAGTTAGTGTGAAGCAGCCTCAGGCCGTGTGAGAGCTGGGCACGGGCCAGCCTGCTGAGACGTGCGGTCACATGCAAGCCACGCGGGAGTTCTCAGGCCTGCAGCCAGTGCACCAAAGCAGCCCTGGGCCAGAGACAGATTTATAAGTACAGCAAAGTATTTATTATTCTCTTTTTCTAAAAGTAAACAGACATAGTCCAAAATGGTTTTGCAGACCTTAGCCAGGCTTGAGACCAGGTGAATATTTCTGCTCGGTGTTTGAGTGAAAAGTGTACATACAGCTAGTATTTGAGGGACTTAGGTTATTTTCCTGGTCATTTTAGGTTTTGACATGAGGTTTTCTTCTTCTCCTCTCCAAGAAAGCCCCCCAGACCCTGGCACTGGTTGTCCTGCCAGCAGACACACACACTGCCACCAAGCAAAGTGCTTTCCTTCCCAGGCACCTCCTGTAGTGGCACCCAGGGTACCTCAGGACAGTCACAGCTGGAAGATCAAAGTCCAGACCCACAGTTAAACCCTATGGACTGACAAAGGTTGGGATGCTGATGCCAACGCAGTTTCCTGGGTACCAGGATGCTTGCGAGCGGCCAGGAAGTCTGTATGTCAACAAGACCCCAGGAGAGTCTCCGGTGACCTGGAGAAAGAAACTCCCGACTCTCAGCCTCACAGGTGGCTGGTCAGTAGGGGCAGCTGCACCCCTGGGACGGCGCTGGCAGCCTTTGCCCTGTGCGTGGTGGATTTGCAGCCTGCACTTCCTCAGGTCTTCACGGCGCCGGGTCAGCAGAAGGAGGCACATTCTGGTTGGGCGCCATCCTCCTGGCTGGTGACCTTGGGAAGCACGTGATCTCCCAGGGCATGATTTGCCCAGCTGTACAATGGGGGTGATTATCATAACTGAAATGACTCTAGAGTGTTGGCACAAGGAGAGGAGGGATTGTGATGATTGTGCCGTAGCTACTGTTCATTACTTATCAGATTCCAGTGTTGTGTTAGGCATCATAACTGGGCAGTGAGGCTGGACCTCGTGCCGGTGCTGGCTGCGGGACTCTGGAAGGAGGAGAACCTCTTCAACTGTGGTTTTGTCCAGCTGCCTCCTTCGTAAGTGCGGTGCTCACTCCCCACTGGGAGGTGAAGGGGCAAGAGCCCTTGGCCTTGCAGGGGTTCAGCCTGGGATGTCTGTGCCCATCTCCCAGGAAGAGGGCAGTCTGTGACCCGAGGCCAGGGCCACAGCTCCATTTCCAGCCTTCCTCTGCCCAGAGCCACCTAAGGCAACTGTTCCTCCCTAGTGAACCAGTGGGCCGGCAAGCCCTGGGCAGGGCAGGGACTCTGGAGGGTGAGAGATGGGTGCAGATAATCTGGGGCCCCTGAGGCTGTGTGGCCAGACAGCATCCTGGGCAGCAGCTCCCTCTGACTGTCCACGTGAGCTTCTCCAGCAGGTGCCTATTTTAGAAGATTGTCTTTCATACCTTAGTTCAAGTGGGCAGATTCTAGAGACCCTTGGGGGTGGGCACGCGGAGGAGCAAATTCCTGTCTTTCCGGAAGATGGTGGTGGGCCTCAGCAGATTAATGAGGCTTCAAGACCTCGCCTGCCCAGATCCTGGGGTGCCTCTCCCTGCCTGGAGCCTGGGAGTCTGGGCCAGAGATTTCCAGGCTGGGGATGGACCCAGGGCATGGGGAGCAGCTGGAGGCCCTGAGCTTGTCCCAGATGCTCTCAGCCCATGGGGTGAGCCCCAAACAGAGGAGAGAGCAGGCTGTGGGTACCAGGCTGAGGGTGTCTGCCAAGGCTCTGAACCAAGCACATCTCCTGTCCAAGGATCTCTGCAGAGGGGTCTGAACTTGAACTGAGCCAAACGAGAGCATCTTAATTAAGCCAGAAGACCAGGTTTTAGCTCTGGCCAGCCCTGTGGCCTCAGCCTCAGGCCTGTCACTATGGGCCTCAGCGTCCTTGTCTGTAAGAGAGAGGAGAGATGCCCCAGCCTTGCTCCAACACTGCAGGGCTGCATGCAGTGGGGTGGCACAGAGCTGGGCCCCCCAGCATGCAGTGAGGAAGCAGCAAGGACAGGCATCACGTGCCCTCCTGGGGAGCTGACTGCAGTCTCCACTGTGGAAACTACTCCTGGAGGGGGTGATTTCTGTGGCTGTTTCGTCCTGGCCTTCTTATTGGGTGGAGTTGTGCATAGTGAGAAACCCCTATCCAGAGGAGCAGAAGGGATGTTAGGCCTCCCCTGACCCTGCCCACTTTAGAGCCCCTTGGTGGGTGCCGGGGATTGGGGAGAGAAGGCTTTCTCCCCAGGTGGGCGTGCTGGGCCAGCACGGGGCCTTATTGAGTCTATACAGCCTGGAGCCTGGTGTGGAGGCCCTCAGGGAAGTGCAAGATGGGCGTGGCCCTTTATCTGGGAAGAGGGAGCCACCTCCCTGGGAGGTTTGTTTCTGCCCTTGGCCTTGGTGTCTTTACTTGGCACTTATGAAGATCACAGAAGTGGCTGGTCCCTGGGGGACAATGGGAAGCGGGAAGTCCCACCATAGATACCTGGTAGGAGAAGGCTTAGGGAGAGTTGAGTTTTGAGAGGCAGAAGAGGGGAAACCTGGTGAAGGCAGGAATGGGGACCGGTGGGTGAGCTCACTGCAGGGTCACTGCAGACATGGTGGAGGAGGGAGGCCGTGCTCCGTGCTGCTCTGGCCCCTGGCTGTGGACCTAGAGGAAGGATTTGCTCAGCTGCAAAATGGAGTCACGCTTCTCCTCTGTGCTATGGAGTGTTGAGAGGGATGCAAGGGGCGAAAGCCCGGAACGGTGTCTGGAAGGATGAGGGTCTGTTTCAGCTGCAGGTGAAGCAAGGTCAGCAGAGATTTCAGAGTGAAGAAGAGCAGGGCACTGGGCGGCCCTGTGGCTGCTGGGTCCAGGAGGGGTGGGGTGGCGTTTCCAGGGGCCATGACACTCAGTAGGATGTCACCTTGGGGGGACAAGTGTGGCAGCTAAAATGCACCCCTGCCCCATATCCTGAGAGCCTGATCCTTGCACCTTGTTCTTCTGCTCCCCCCAAATTAATACCTTAGTGAGGAAACTCCTCTGTTAAAGTATCAGGGCAGTTGGGGGGGCACTAACTGCCAGGAGGCTGACAGGTGATCCTGTGGGGGAAACAGCTGGGCTGACCCCGAGGAGCAGGGATGAGGAGGGGCCCTGTGGGGGTCCAGGCCCAGGGCTGCCCAGCGCCCACCTGAGGGGAGGGAGCCCTGGGCAGCCCTCCGAGTGGCTCAGGCTACAACACCTGGTCTGCAGTTGGTGCCCGGGAGCCGGAATGGGGTAGAAACCCCGGGTTACTTGGAACATGCTGGTTTTCAGCCAGAATCTACCTCTCCTTAAGACTTGGGCTCCAGATGTTGTAGCTGGGAAATGTTTTAAGTCTTTCTATATATGAGCGCTTATGTTCCTCTGTCATTCTTTTGGGCAAGCTAAGGGTCTTGGAATTTCACGTTAGAATGGCCGTATCTTCAGACTGCAGCGAGCAGCCCACGCTGAGCGAGTTTGTCTTTGTGTCCGTGGAGATCTCTTTGATGGGGACTTTTCTGAGCATTCTCTGGGGCAAAGTGTGACAGAGGCTTAATCCCAGGAGCACACAGTGAGCAAACGCCTCCCTTGGAGCTGGAGCCTCGCATTTGTGAGCCCCCTTCTGCCACACAAGGGCTGATGGGGAGCGAGGAGCAGCTGGCTGAGGGGAGGGGCAAGCTTGGAGTGGGGGCGGGGAGGCCTCCCCAGGGGGAAGGACAGGCCTGTGGTGCCACCTCTGGTGCTGGCTGCTGCGTGGAGATGACAGGCCTTTGTGAGCAGCAGGCTTAGCTCGACAGCAGCTAAGCCTGACTTGCAGCTTTGCTGTGGGCTGCGCTGTGGCATCCCGTGGCCTGGTGGTGACCAGTTCGTATCAGGACA